GTCCGGGCGGGCCCCGGGCATCCGCGGGGAGTCTTGGGGGGGTCCCCGGCGTCCGGGGGGGTCCCGGGGGGGTCCCGGGGGGCCCCGGCGTCCGGCTCACTGCTCGTTGGGGTTGGGGTTGGCGTTGGGGTACTTGGTGAGGTCAAAGGTCAGCACTTTGCTGATGACGCAATCGCCTTGCTGGGGGGGGTAATAAAATGGGGGGGGGGTAAACACCCAGCACTGCCCCCCCCCCGGGTATTTATTGCCCCCCCCGGGGTATTTACCCCCATTTCATACCCCCTCCCCCGGGTATTTACCCGCCTTGGGGCTCCTCCCCCTGGGGCAGCAGGGGGGTATTTACGCCCATGGCAAGGGGGTATTCACCCGCCCACGGGTATTTACCCGCTCGGGGGTATTTACCCCTCTTGGGGCTCTTCCTTTGGGGCAGCGGGGGGGTATTTACCCCCATGACAGGGGGACATCCACCCCAGTACACGGTTATGTTCCCCCCAGGGAACAGCAGGATATTCACCCGCCTGCGGGTATTTACCCGCCTTGGCGAGCACCCCCCCCCGGGGGGCACTTTCCACCCCCCAACAGAGGGACACCCCCCCAATACACTCAAATACCCCCCTAGGGTTATAGGGGGGGGTGGCCCCGCCCCACACCAAACGGGTATTTACCCGGGCGGGTATTTACCCACCTCGGCACTCCCCCTGGGGGGCACTTTCCACCCCCCAACAGGGGGACACCCCCCCCAAATACATGGGAATACCCCCCTGGGGGGTGTGTGGGGGGGTGCACTCACCCCACACCAAGCGGGTATTTACCCAGGGGGGCGGGTATTTACCCGGGGGGGGGGTATTTACCCGGGGGGGCGGGTATTTACCCACCTCAGCTCTCCCCATGGGAACACTTTCCACCCCCCCAACAGGGGGACACCCCCCCAATACACTCAAATACCCCCCCGGGGGGTGCAGGGGGGGTGCCCCCACCCCGCCCCAGGCGGGTATGTCCCCGGGGGGGCGGGTATTTCCCCGGGGGGGGGGTATTTTCCCACCTCGGGGTACACGCCGATGAGGCTCTGCGCCTTGG